CAAGAAGAGCAGACTTAAGCGTTTATAATTAACCACATTTTGCTTGCCTTTATTTTATTTAATCGCAGAGGTTCACTTACCTAGTATAGTCTATACTGTACATTTTTCGCACTGTGTGCAATGAAAACACGAAAAGCACAACTTTATATTTGTTTACTTTGTTAGGAGCAAGGCAGTGAAGATGCATAGGTACCCGTAGCGTTCCAGACTTTACCCATTCATCGTCGTCTTTCTCTTCTCCTGTCACTGAAGTCTGCCACACTGATTGATTACAGGCTCCTGATTCAGTTTCACGTCTGCGTCTCAAGCAGTCTTACACCTGTGAAGGGGTTTTGAACCAAAACAGAAAGTGGGGTTATCTGAGTAACGGCTTCAAATGCAAGTTGTTTCTTTTTCCTGTGGGATTAACCTTGCAGTCATGTCTTTAGACTGTGACCCACACAGGCATGGATGAAACACCCAAACCTCACACCTTAAAGGTCTGGCCTTCTTGCTGCCATGAAACTAAAGAATAAAATACATTTTTCTGCATCTTTGAGGCATAAGCAATCAGGCAAAAAAAATAAAAAATAAAATAAATTTAATAAGCACAAACAAATGTTGTGTTACTGTAATAAGAAGAGCATTTGGAGTAGAGAGAATATTGCACGATCATCAGGATCCCTTAAATCAGTTGTCTGAACCACATTTGTCTCAAGGCAATGCTGCGTGCCCTGACTTATTGCTTTTTAGAGAAGAGCTACTTCATTCAAAAGGGAATTATTTATCAGTCCCACACATTATTAAAAAAATGTGAGATTTCCTTCCAAACAGTTATGAATGAAGTATTTGAGAACCAACAAGGCTGTGATAAGACACAAACACCCGACAGGATAGCAGTGGTTCAGAGGAAGAGGTAACTCCTCCTACATGGTCCTAACCTAGTCACCTAGTTGAGTTTTTTGTTTTTTTTTTTAAAGCAATGTATGAAGACCAGGCCCCAGATCCCGTTGCCATGACAACTTTGCTCCCATCATTGCTCCTCTTCAAAACTAATTATTGTACAACAATTTTTCTTCACTAATTGCGGCACGACGTCTAACATAGCATAAAGTTGAATCGACGCGTCTCAGGCTAAGCCCATCACTCAAAGTGCGCTCGTATTCGCCTTAAACCAATCAGTGGCTCTTTACGGCTTGATAGATCTTTGATTACTGCCACACACGAGCAGTTTTACATCCACTTGTCTAACTCCCTTCTCACCTCTCTCTCTCTCCATCCCTGGTTGCTCCCCGTTATCAAACAAAAGGCTACAGAACGGCTCCGCACGATCGATCAGGTACCCGACATATGTGACATATTTAACATCCAAAGAACAAGAGATAAGGTGAGGCAGGATAATACAAAAAGTTTTTGTACCCCTCCATCAGGTCATGCTACGTGGGCTATGGCTTCCTCCAAACCAGACATTCTCCTCATCCTGCTGCAGAAGCTGATGGAGGAAGGGAACTTACTTTACAAGGTGCGGTATAGTGAACGTTACATGTTACATGTGGTGGGGAAACGATTAGTTGTCAGTAACCCCCTTTGAGTTTTTCTCTTCTTTCACAGAAGGGACGTATGAAAGAAGCAGGCCAGCGTTATCAGTATGCCCTAAGGAAACTACCACGTGAGGGGCAAGGAGAGGAGCTGAAAGGCTTGAAAGACCTGCGAGTCTCCCTCTATCTAAACCTTTCACGGTGCCGCAGGAAAACCAACGTAAGACTCACAGCTGTACCAAACCACTTCTGCACTATTTAACATCTGCAGGTTTGTTGGACACCTAGGGAATGTCAGTTAGGGCGGCCGAGGCAAGATACACGGTTTCTCAAGATGTATTATTTATCTGTATCAACATAAAAAGAACATGTCTCTGCTGGTATAGCGCAATGCAAAAATATAGCTGCTTTTCAGATCTAATTTCAGGCCTCCCTGGTAAACAGAATGTACTTGTAAGACCTGGAAGCAGGTGGTGACATAATGAATAACTGTGTGCCGTTAGTGTGGAGATAGATGTGTGTGTGGCCTGCAGCCAGGGCTGGAACCCACCCTGGTGATGACAGACGTCCTAACAGACTGTGTAAAAATGCCATCCTTAGGGTCAGTGTGGCCGATGAATAATGGAGCAGATAATGTGATGTGATAAGGTCACTCTCTCTGGCAGGCTAAGTCCACTCTCTTTCCTTCTCCGTGGCTCTGCAGGGGGTTTATTTACAGTGGCCGCACTAACGCGCTGGCTAAAATCCACATATTACAGCTGAACGCAGGCAGTAGGGGCCAGCAGGGAGACTACATGATACCGTCATTAAACATTCAACAGCGACGCTCACAATCTCACATTCAAGGCTGTCGTTTTGACCTCACTCTGAAGGACAGAATCACAGTGTGTTGGTGTCATTAAATATTCACCTGAGAGTGATGATGGGAGCAGTAAAAACCAGCAGGAAAGGCAAGCCGCTCTCCTTCTGCTCCTGGTCAATAAAAATGATTGCAGCGCGAGTTCTGTTTCATTAAACAGGCTTTGATCCTCAGCTCCATATAATGAAGCGGCAAACAAACAGTATTGTTCTTTTTTTATTACTGGAATGGCCTCAAATTATTTCTGCAGAGCCGGCACTCTCCAGGCTAGGCACTTAGAAACGCAGCTGATCATACAGTGGGGTTTATTTGTTGCTGCACGTCACAGCGTCACATTTAATTTGAAATACAAACAGCACGTGTCACTAAATGCATTTTTCTGCAGGACTTTGGCATAGCTGAGGAGTTTGCAACAAAAGCCCTGGAACTGAAACCAAGGTCTTATGAAGCCTTTTACGCCAGAGCCCGGGCCAAGAGGAGTAGCAGGTACAACAATATTCAAGTATACTTCGATCCGAATCCTTTTGCTTAGAGGAAATTCTTGCGAGAAAAGGGCCGCGTCCTCTCTGTATTTTTAAAAAGTTCCTTTTGTTCGTTTTCTCGGTTCTCCCCAGGCAGTTTGCTGCAGCGCTGGCAGATCTCCACGAAGCAGCACGACTCTGCCCGTCCAACCGGGAGATCCGACGCCTGCTGGCACGAGTAGAGGAGGAATGTAAGCATCATCAGAAGCTTTCCAGCAACAACTCGGCACAGGGTTACAACAGGGACCCTCACACCCACCATCATCAAGCCACAGAGGAGGAAACGGACGTCTTTTCACAGGGAAGTCTGGAAAGGCACATCCCAGCAGAGCAGGCCAATGCGGAGAAGGAAGAAGAAAAGGAAGATGGCGAGGAGGTGAGCCTGCAGTGTGGGAAAAGTCCTGAATTTTGGCCTCTGAATCCATACGCTCCGAACAGGACTCTCCCCGGAGCTGTGGCCTTTGGATTAGGAGATCAGTCGCCGAGCTTTCATCAAGAGGAATATGTACAGAACCAGCTGTTTGTGGACATGCCCGAGCCAGTTCCTGCTGTTAACAGGCAACTCCAGAGCCAGGGCAGCAGGACTCATCACCAGTGCCACTCCCTCCAGTCAGGGAGCAGAATTGGGGGCAGGCCTCTGTCTCTGTGCGGTCCTTCTAGTCCTTTGCCAGGTAGACACATCTCCACCTCTCTGAGGCCTGCACCTGTTATGGGTATCGACATCGGCCCTGGATCCTGTGAACACTCTGGGCTCAGTCCTACTGAGCACTATCACCCTATGTCTCCCAACAGCTCCTCCCCACCTGGACCTCTGCAGATGTACCAGCCGCGCTCCTCCAGCTTCTCCAGGGGCTCTGACAGGCTCTCTACCCACTCTGTTGCTCTGGATGGCCTGGCGCTCGCTTTAGGTGCTGGTATGGAGGTTAGGCGGGAGGGTGGTGGAGCAGGAACAACAGGCTCAAGGGGCTCCAGCTCCAGTCAGGCCTCCAGTGGGAACCTGTCAGATGGGGGCAGGCAGCAGGCACCAGATGCCCCGTGCCCTATCAAGAGCAGCGGTAGCTTCAAGACAAAACCTGAGTTAAAGCCCCGGCCCTTTATGGGGGTCATGGACAAAGCGGTGCGAGTCAGCCAGCAGGCCTCTGGCCTGAGCCGGCAGGGAGGAGGGGTGGAGAGCTTCAGCATGTCCGTGATGGAGTTCCAAGGGCTGAACAATGAGTTCAAACACGCATCATTCCAGGAGCAGCACTCTGTGAGCCACAGCAACAGCCAGCAGCAGGGCCGTGAGTTTGGAGACCGGCTGCACCAGCGAGAGGGCAGAGGTACCACATCCTCCCAGCTACGCTTCCCCGAGGGGAGGCACAGGCAGGCGAGCCTGACGAGAGACAACCCAGCTCTGCACATGGCTCCCATAAAGCCCAAACGCTCTTTTATAGAATCCAACGTCTGAGCGTAGTTTCTCAAAGCACAGGAGCAGGCTGGTTTTTTTCAACAAGCTATGTCCCACATTAGGTAGCAAGGGAGACGGGCGTGAGAGCGGCTCCCTTCCCTGAGCCTGTTTTGTAGATTTATGCTGCTGCACTGCATTTACAATCTAGAACCAGTGTTCAACTCAGGCTACTACGCTTTTGCTTACATGTATACAGCTAGTGTATTCAAGAAGACCAGACATACCTTAAGTAGGGATTTAAATTAAAAAAAAAAAAAAAAAAAGAGTAGTCTATTGTCTCAACTTTTAATTCATAATATCAAATATAGAAAACTGAGAAAGCTTTGTGCACGAATATACGAAACCTCACGCTGTTTGTTGCAGGATATGACCATTTCTATTGTGAAGTGTCTTTTAAAAAACATTTATATTTGTACGGTGTACACTATATTTGCAGATTATCTATTTCCCTGTAAGTGGTTATCTGTTAGCATTACAGGCTTCAGAACGGATTACTTCGTGTACCCGAGATCCTTTTTCTTGGTGCATTTGACTAGAAAAACACAAAAAAAGGCACTGTACATGACATTGTTGGACAGCTTCTTGTCATAATCTTACAAGTGACTGCTTCAGTATTCACAGTAAATGTTATTTATTTTTGCATAGCAGAGAAAATATTCATATGAAGTGTTTATTGGTTTATTCAGACTTGAGAAAGAGCTTTTACAGAATGTGGGATAAAGAGAGAAAACAGAAACTTAAGACTTAATATATGTTCATAGTTGTCATATACACTTTTCAGAGTCATACTATGGATTACAGAATATTACCACATTAATATTGTGGTATAATAAAATATTCCTGGATGACTACATTTCTACAGCTCATTCTTTCATTTTACTCCATAAAATGTTGCTTAAAGCTTCCGGGTGTGCGGGTGGGAGAAAGGCCTTTCACAGGACCTTTCACATAACTCGCCTAAATTGACATTAAAACGAGCCTTTGAAGTAAACTTCGTTGTTTAAAACTGTGGATGTTGCGTTTTCATATAAACCAAGAATGAGGGAACATTTTGCTTCACAAACGGCAGCAACTGATGCTGTTAAAAGAAGAGGGAAGCATGCCCCAACTTTACCTTTTCCAAGCATCAAAGTTTAAAGACATGCTATCATCATATGGTTTTAATGATCTGAAATTGTTCTGAAATGATAAAAAGCATCCTTTTTTGGAAAAGGGTTGTAATAAACATCAATATAAAACACGGACTATCTTTCTCCAGTCTGGACTTGAGCATTTCGGGTCTCACCATCTTGGCTTTTCTGAACCACAATTTCTCGTGCGAGGAGTGGAAATGAGTTAGAAACTGCCAAATGCCACACAAATGAGCATCATCTTGGATTCAGCAAGACTTTAAACTAGTGACTGAGTTTATAAAGTCATCAGGAAGATGTTTACTGAGCCCATAAACGAAGAGAGCAGAAGGATTTCTATCAGGCTTCTTATGAATTTTGCTTCTTTGTGCAACCAGAGCAGTCGCCCCCTGCTGGCTAATAAAAAGAATGCAGGTGAAAGGCACTTCCACATTGGCGTCGCTGTTCCAACACAGCAGCTATGTTCATCTTTCACATACAGCCTAAGGTAAACAACAAGGTTACAGCAATCTAAATAAAATACACTGTAGATTCTTCTGATCTACAGTTAGTGCAAATAGTGTTTTGTGTATGTGTGTGTATATAAAATCAATAATGCTAATCAGTTTCACATAATAACAAAATAGTCACCTATTTGTAAAGTGAGGTTAGGGGAATCATTAAAAGCAATGCAGGCAAATAGTTTTCCTCATTCTTCACTGATCAAAAATCAAAGCAGGGATTTCACAGGAAGGACCAAATATGAGGAAATTGAAAACATGATCCAGCCTAAAAGTGACATATTTGCTGCAGCCAAAGCCAGTTGAATTTGAGTGAATAGCGAAGTGCATTCTTGAAAACTCTGGATGCTCATGCTGGTCTTCCCCCCCCCCCTCTGTGTGATAGCAGGCAGCTGATTGTTGATTCGGGTTGGTCGTTTAAAATCTGGCTAACTATCAGGCACATCTTTTCCTGAAACGGTGCTGTGGGCATTTATCTGAGCACTGCATTCTGCTTCTCTACACTTCAGTGAAAAATCATTAGCACGCCAGCTCAGATCCACAGATGTCTAGTGGCTGGTCTTCCAGCGACCAATAGCCATCTTCAGGGTGTGGTTAGGGGTGAGCAGAGTCGTCAGCAAGGGGAGGTTGGTCATGGGGCTGGAGCGGTTTTTGGTATTAATCCAGCTCTCAATGGCCTCTTTTTCATATGAGTAGCCATCTGTTTGGGGTGGAAAAAACTGTGTAAACAACACAAAAAAGCACAAAGTAATGATGGAACACACGATCGATGATCTCAGCTCACCGGCAGCAATAACCGGCTCCTTCATCAGTTCTCTGGTGATTGGACACAGGAACTCATCGGGAATGCCTAGACACACTGAATCACTCTTCAGCTCCTCCACCTTCCTCAGGAGTTTACTGTGCAGGCCGACTGACTCTACAGACACACATCAGCCACAGAAAAGAGGCACATAAAGACTCGGTGTGCAGTGATTCAAAGAAAGAAAGAAAAAAGGAAAAGGAAAATAGCTGAGCATCAAGTGGAACAAGCTGAACTGACCCAAACACTGACAGTAATATCAATACGATGAAGCCTCTGAGCATTTGTTATTCGTGTCTTTAGCACTCTGCGCTCTCGGGTGGCAAATGTGAGTGTGGGTGAGGGTGGTGGGACCAGACCATGTCTGCTGTCTGTCCAATTCAAAGATAAATGCTCAGCAGCTACCCGGGGGCCAATTTTACTTTGAAAAAAATAAATCATCACACAGAAATTATAGTTTACAAATAAACAATCTCATAAAAAATGCCTTAACTGCAAATGAACACAAAGGACTTTAAACATTGTGTGCTTTCCTCTCAAAGAGGCATTGATTTCACTCTCAGCTTTGAAAAATGCGTCAGGGCGCTCCGTCTCTGTCTCTCTGTCATTGTAGCAGATAAAACAGACTACTACTCTAACACTCTTCTCCAAGTTAGTTCTGGTTACAAGCAAGGTGGGATTCACGCGGCGTTACTAAGAACAGAACAATGTGAACGCGAGCTGCCACGGCGAGGAGTGATTGACAGCGACTGTGGGATGAAAATGACGGCACGGCAATGCAACAAACATTTGCTGACAACTACGTGACGAACACAGGCCTAGCTGGTAGACTGACATCGACAACATAACGCTCCGACTTTGCCGAGCGGTTTCACTTGATGGTGAAAGGGGGGAGGAAAAAAAACAAAAGCGTCTGATCAACTAAAAATAATACATTCAGACAGACTGGGAAATAACCAATAGGGCTTAGGTATAAATCCACTTTATACCGTATGGGGAATTCTGTTTTGATGATTGGGTTATGTAACTGAAGAAGCGCTCCAGATTAAACGTCCGAACCGCTAAGGTCCCTAAAGCTTAGTGGTTTCCCAGTGCAGCCTAATATTACATAATCTTGCTGAGTAAAACCCCCCCACCCCCTCCCCATCAGCACCCATTCCTTCACCCTTACTTTGATTTAATATGCCATCTTTTATCCATGTAAATAGGTGCAAAAATCCTAATCCGCACGCGGCCGTGCTCATTCTCACAAGAGACCCGGCGTGTAATGCTCATAAGACTGGGCTTTTATCCTTCTGTTCTGGACAAAAAGGAAAGCATTAGGACTGTGGGAAAAGGAGGGAGTGGGGAAGCGGCGCCGCTCTCGCTGAGCAGCGTGTGATGCTCGTCTTCCTCACCGACGTGCAGCTCTGACGCCAGTGTTTCCTTGGTGAGGCTGAGCAGCTCTGTCCCATCTATGTTATTGGCCTTAAATCTGTCCACCAATCCCTCGAGGCCTTCCTCCAGCAGCCACTCTGACACATCGTCCTCCGACCAATTGCTGACCAGCAGCTTCGATCGGCCTCCCGAGGCTCTCCCTGAGAGGGTGAGTCAAAGCAAGATGGTCAGTCCTAGACAGCTTTTGAAAAATGGACACATATTCTCCATGCAAGGCGAACCTGGAGTCCGGCTGACTGCTTATTGATCGTGAGGCTGTGGCTGTTACAGCGATATAAATAAATGTTTGAAAGATTAATGTGAAACCAAACGTGAATAGTGTGATTAGGACAAAAACAATCGCAGGCTTTTGTGCACACTTTGTCTCAGGACTGGAATATTTTTGTATAGAATATCTGCAACACATAATACAGTAAAGCTGTCTTATCACCTTTGATTGAAGTCTGAGCAGATTCTTCTGCAAGACAAACAAAAGAAAGAAAAAGAACCGTAAACATGAGAAATGCAATGAAGTCTTTGGGCCAACTGCAAACACGTGAGAGTGGCGAGTGATCGAGGAAACGAGGGCGACCGTGAAACCAACATCTGTGCCCTTCTTTAGGAGACGAAGCTGCTTTAACATGTAAAATCTTAACACACACAAAAAAAGAGCCAATGATGCTCTTGAGCTGAAACACTGTTATTAAAGGTTATACTGATTTGTACTCAGAGAATATAAAGGTTATAAGGTCTTTAAAAAATCCTCTGTTTTTCAGAGCTGGCAAAAAAAGGAGCAATAAAAGCTGGCCTGTTACTGCTGAGTGTTGCTTGCTGTTGTACTCAGTCTGCTGTTGTTGTTGTTAAAGTGACATAAAAAATGTGTCCAAACAAGAAAAAACAAAAAAAGATGGAAAGAAAACCAACCAGGCAACAGCTTCCCGCCTTTCCGTTGGACGGGGAGGTGCAGTAAGGGAGAAAAACAAAAACAGATTACAGGAACATTTTTACAACTCATCAAAACATAGATGTGACTCTTCTAAAGTGATGCGTGTGGGTTTTTCCCTCCCTACCGTTTCCACCGCAACCATCCTCCAGCCTCCAGATGTTTATGGTCTTATCCATAGATCCTGTAGCAATAAGCGGTGAGGTCGGAGAGAAGGCGCACGCCGTCACGTACCTGCAGCAGAGGATAACCACCTGAACGCTGCTTCTATTCACAATACAGGTATAATTTCTTTATATGGTAAAAAATAACAGACTGACAGAGAAAGGTGTCCGAACAGATTTACCAGGCAAACAGCTTATGCATGATTCACCGACAACAATTATGCCAATAACACAATCACATCGATGTCAATGGGCGGGATGACATTTTCAACATCAATGCAATCATTTCCAAGAATCATACACGAACGTAATGATTACCTTGGATTTCAAATTACTCCAGCAGCTTGATAATTGTTTTTATTTTCTACTACTTTTTTAAATTAAATTACACATACACATACTACTATGCATTAATAATTCTGAAGGAAATTCACAAAGTTTTACCTTATTTTAAACTACATGTAAAAGGAAAAATGAAAAATAAGACGTTGAGTGAACCTTTGTTATACAAGCACTCAAACAGAGTCTATTAAAATCAGTAATTCAGAAGTCAAAGTGGGAAGAACCACATCTCAGTCCTGCTAAGCAGCTCGATGACTTAAAGGGAATCTTTGATGCCAGTTTCCAATTGCATGTTTGCTTGTTTTTAATACCTGGACTTGCCTAGAGTAGCTTTGCATGATTCACAGTTCAGAATAATCCTGATTAATCTTACACTGGGGCTTGGTGCACTGTCTGAAACAAACCGTTTTAGCTCCTTTTCTTTCAATTTAAGGAAACTTTCTTCTGAATGTCTGCTTGGGGGAGGAGCTTGATAAGAGATCTGTCATGAGAGCTGTCATAAGAAACGGTCACAGCAGATGGCTGTCCCTCCCTGAGCCTGTTTCTGCTGGAGAAAGTGACAAAGGTTTCTTCCTGTTAAAATTGAGTTTTTCCTTCCCACTGTCGCCAGCGTGCTTTCTCATAGGGGGTTGTGTACTTGTTGGGGTTTCTTTACTTTACAATATGAAGCACCTTGGTGACCGTTGTTGTGATTTGGCCCTCTAATACGGAAAATTAACTGAATTGAAGACATGAGCACATTCATGCTCTCTGACCTCATGCAAAAGCAAAGAGTAGGAAAAAGAAACCTCTCTGAAATTGAGTGATTAGGCTGAAGCCTAGTTTGAGCTGACAGGGATTACTTGGACACATCCTCGCCTCATTATCTGGAACTTTGACTCTTTAATATGAGCATCGACTATTCTAACAGCAAATAAGACAAAGCATAATAGGTCTGCTTGAAGCTTTAAAACTGCAGTTGCTTCCTAGATGGCCAAAAGTTTTTTTAATTCTGGCTTGATGCTACATATGTCACAGTGATAAAAATGCTCTCCATCAGGACCAATTCAGTGAAGGCTTACCATGCTGAAAGCCGCACTGAGCATCTCAATAAGGATTAAAATCAAATTCTCAGCGGATTCAGTAAAGTCAAGGCAGCGTTAATGAGTCCAATCTCTCTCGAACCTAAGCTGGATTGCTGAGAAATGATGATCCACAAAAGCTAGCTGGCTTCACACAAATATCTCTACGATTAAAAGAGCTGAAAGAGAGGCACGCACTAACCCGACCTAAGAGACTCTCACAATGTTGTATCATCAGTTTGTCTAACTCAAAGCAGTTTCCTGAAGACATTTTGTCAAGTAATGAAAAAACTTCTTCCCCATTTATCCACTTTTCCTCAACTTGCCGCTTGCTTCCTCTTCAGTTAGTGATTTTCCAAAACGACTTTCATTCGCTCCGCTGAAAGGAGTCTGCTGCCTTTCAGACACAGGTGGCTGGATGGACGTATAAATAGCATGTAAGTGTGATCGTTCAGCTGTGGGTTTTGCGTGGGTGGGAGGGACAGAGTGAGAGTAGTCTTACCTTTTTCTTAAAAAAAACACAAGTTTAGGGACAACAATGCAACACAACCCGTTTTAATCATGTAGATCAGCGATCCCCAACCTTTTTTGCGCTACGGACCGGTTTATGCCCGACAATATTTTCATGGACCGGCCTTTAAGGTGTCGCGGATAAATACAACAAAATAAAACTAGTACCGGAAAAAAAGAAGATTTATTCATAACACACGTGAAAAGACCCAGGAAAACCGAGTTAACGATAAAAACGATAACAAAATAACGCTGATAAAAACCCTGAAAACCATATATTTCACACCTGAGCCTCAACTCTCGCGGCCCGGTACCAAACGACTCACGGACCGGTACCGGTCCGAGGCCCGGGGGTTGGGGACCGCTGATGTAGATCACATCATGGGCGGAGTTTCAGCTATCGCTTTCCCCACAAACATGGGACTTAATGAGTTTTGAATTTTGTGTATTATTTTATACAGACGCGTTGTCCACCAGTGGGGCGGAGCAGGGTGGTGGCCACGGGCAGACTTGACACCTGGTTGTTAGGGGTGCAACTATACTCATATCGATATTGAACCGTTCGATACAGTGCTTTCGGTTCGGTACGCATATGTATCGAACAATACAACATTTGTAATTTATTTTATCAACTTTCCTTCTGACGATGCTGTCTGTGTTGAGCGCTCAGTGAATCTGCGTTCGACTACTCCGCCTAGGCTGCACTGTCGAGCGCAGATCCACTGAGCGCTCAACACAGACAGCATAGTCAGAAGGAAGAGCGCAGGGCAAGCTAGCAAGACAGAAGTTAAGCTCTCCTTGCAACATGGCAAATTGAACCTCCCCCACCCTCATTCAGATCTGGCGTTTGGAATTATTTTGGTTTTCATGTGACGTATGACCCTGAAGGTAAGCGCGTCATGGACTAAAGTAAAACAGTATGTTGGATGTGCCACGCAATGCTCAATTACATGGGTGGGAACTAGTGTGTTAGCGCAGTTAGCTCGTTAACGTGTTGGCCGTCTAGCCCCAGGCAGGGGTAGCTCGTTAACGTTGTTGTTGTTGTGCGGCAACCGCACAGCAACAACAACACACAGAGCGCCTCTGACCCCGGAAGGACACACCGTCGCAGGGAGAAGGCGTCACCCGTCACTATGGCAACATAAACAAAACATAACTGTACAAACAGAAC